TCACATACATATTTTCAAAGCTTCCTATACGGATGCTTAGTATAAACATGCCACTAGAGGGATTGAGCCGGATGCCAGTTACCTTTGCAGTCAATGACCAAGAAACTAGGCCTAGCCTACTTTTCAAATTTGTTTTCAGGCGCAAGAAAGGCGAGTGACCCTCTAATGTTTGATATATCTAACCTTTCCATACCTTTAAGTCTAAAACTACCGTCCCATATCACGTTTTTGAGTTTAGTTCACTTTCTGTATGACCAAACTGATGTTTATAAACATTAAAACCGAAGCTTCGAGACAAGTATATCAAAATTTAAATGATTATACGTAGAACTTATATGGTAAAATAAAAATAGTTATTTCTTAATACCGTGATATAATTGGCTTAAATTATGGCCACATCGGAGTATTGATAAAAGATTATTTGAAGTACAGAATCTGTATAAACTCTCGGACAAAGAGACATGCTCTATCTGTACACTGAACTGTTTGGGAAGGTAACGTCCCAAGCAGTAAATAGTGTTGATAATTAGAAAAGGGGAGAAGTTAAATATTTGTTTCACCTATTCGATGAGCATCATTACCATTTGGATTAGGATAAAGTAAGTATGTTTAATTCAGTGGCATTGTCATTATGATTGTTTGAAAACATCATATGTTTCATACATAACTTATTATTGCAGTAAAATGGTAAACAGTTGGCAGTGTTTCCGATATCTATTTTCAGAAAATATCGGAGCTTGTCTACCTCGACAAACTCAAAATAACTCACACATACTCAACTTTTTTCTTTTCGTTTTTGTTGAGAGAGAGAGAGATACAAACGTGGCATTAGAAATATATAAATATAAAAATCCAAGTGAAAATTTTATTGCATAGCATACGAGTAATTCATTAAATGGCAAATATACCTTGAATAAAATATAATTACTGCGTATTTAGCGCCACTAGAAATTGTTCAGTTCAATGTTGTGACTGTGATGTAATTAAGTATTTTCATTAATTTATAAACACAGCGTTTTTAGACTTTTGGTGCGGTATGTGTTCCCGAAAGCAGGACAAAACTTGCACCAAGTAGTTATTCTATGATACCTGAAAATAGAAGTGATTTTAATTAGAGTTTAAGTAAAAAATGAGGTCAGTTTGACAAAGTTCGTTGACCTTTAAAAATCTTTTCTCTGTGTGGTTTTGTTTACAGAATCTGCCTGGGTAATTCACTCTAAAATGGTATGGATAATGAGGCTGAGTCCTTTTTGAAACCAAAGAAACAGTAACATATAAGTAGCCAAACTTAATAGCCCTTTTTATTCTCACGTTTTTTATATACTTAACAATGTTGCTCAGCCCAAATAATTAATAATTTGTTCCCATGTTTGTGTTGTACAGTTAAAAAATATTAAAATTAATTTTGTAATATTACTAATGGTACACAAGCACAGTGATTATAGAATCATAACGAAATGATTCATCAGTCTTGTTTCTAGTAGCGTATGTTTCGGAAATGACCTACTCAAATAAATGACTTGACTTGGGTTACAAAACATGGTACGTATAAATGAGTTCAAAGGAATGTCTGTTAAACTTTTTAAGTTGTTTTAAAACATCTTAACACGTGAGAGTTTTTAGTGATAAACTCAAGTTTTTGTAGCTTTGTTAAACTTTCTAAGTTGTTTTAAAACATCTTAACACGTGAGAGTTTTTAGTGATAAACTCAAGTTTTTGTAGCTTTGTTAAACTTTTTAAGTTGTTTTAAAACATCTTAACACGTGAGAGTTTTTAGTGATAAACTCAAGTTTTTGTAGCTTTGTTAAACTTTTTAAGTTGTTTTAAAACATCTTATCACGTGAGAGTTTTTAGTGATAAACTCAAGTTTTTGTAGCTTTGTTAAACTTTCTAAATTGTTTTAAAACATCTTATCACGTAAAAGTTTTTAGTGATAAACTCAAGTTTTTGTAGCTTTATTAAACTTTCTAAGTTGTTTTAAAACATCTTATCACGTGAGAGTTTTTACTGATAAACTCAAGTTTTGTAGCTTTGTTAAACTTTATGTTGTTTTTAGTGATCAAGTTTTATTGTAAAATGATCAGTGTTAGCCTAAGTGTTATTCTCACGTTTTTCTTCACATATTTCCTTTTATAATTATTTCGTTAAAACTGCAGTAGCAAGCTTTTATATATATTATTGTTTCGAATCTGTGTAAACTGTATATTTTTTCAGTCAGGCAAGTCCCAGTCCCACCTCAAAAGGATGCAAAGAGGGGTCTTTTACCTATTAACTCAAACAACTAGAGACCATTCTCCAAAACGATGCAAAGAGGGGTCTTTTACCTATTAACTTAAACAACTGGAGACCATTCTCCCAAAAGGATGCCAAGAGGGGTCTTTTACCTATTAACTTAAACAACTGGAGACCATTCTCCCAAATGATGCCAAGAGGGGTCCTTTACCTATTAACTCAAACAACTGTAGACCATTCTCCAAAATGATGCCAAGTTGTTCATTACAATTATTTGTTCTTCCGAGTTTATCGTGAACAGTCATTGCTGGCTCACGATGTATCCAGTCATTACTGGCTCATGATGTATACAAAATATTATAAGTTTAAATAGGTTTTCAAATCTTTTGGATATGAAAAGGACAACTTCTTCTTGATGGGCTTCGTTATGATGTTGTTGTTGTTGATTTTCGAAGTTGAACACTAAAGAGATAATAATGAACCTTTTGGTTTTATTCAGTAACTGCGTCTAGTGCATAGTTCTATAGTTATTTTTAAAACTCTAAATGTTAAATACATTTTACCAAAGTACAGTAAACAGTATATGGTTAAATTGTGAATCTCAAGAATTAATTTGAGTCAGTCGTCACCTAGTTTGTAGAGTGCAGGTCAAAAAAGTCCAACATTTGAGTCGTTATATGCCACTGAAGACACTCCACATATTCAGCTGTTGACACTTTATAACTGCGACAGTCATTTCCGTTATACAGATAAAAAAACAGCTGTATAGGCGGAGGGTACTTGTAACTGGTTGATTTTCCTCTTGTCAGAACTCCTAAATTAGAGTTGGCTATGCCTTAACCTAATAAGGAGTCTCTGATATAACCATTGAACACGAGTCACACAAAGTACAGTCAAAGTTAAAAATACCAAATAAGAATTAATTTTGCGAGAACTGTAGTTACTTGACGAATGATAGCTTTGTTAATTGATAATAGATGGCGCTAAAACAATAGCTAACTCAACAGGTAAGTAATTATGCTGTAAAATTCAATATATGTAGATAAGAATAGTATAGTATTTCCCGGAATTATTTTTATTCTTGAACACTTCATACTTTAGATAATTAGCATGTCCACGATGAATTAAGTTGTATGTTCGTGCAGAGAAATAGGGAACTTTCATAAGATCCACAACTACTTATATAGAGTTCACTAAAACTTTAATGTTTTTATTGTGTAATTAATGTGTCATTTACGGGAAAATATTGCTAATACGACTGGACATTTTTCTGTTTTTTCTTTTTTTCATACAATTTTTTTTAATATGTTTTATGCTGTTCAGTTCTTAAAATCATATAGCCTGGTTATTGGGATATAATGTGTTATCGATTCCACAAAACTAGAGCGATTTCCACATATATGTCAAATTACTTTCGCAAGGGTCGGTTTCACATGGCCTATATAGCCATATTTGGCCAGACAAAGTCGTTTTTATTAATAGTTTTGTACTTTTGCTATCAACACGTAAGACTGGAGGTTACTGCATTAATAAAATTTAGTACTTATTAATTATTATTTAATCAACTTATCCACATGAAAGATATAATTCATATTTTTAATGACCAAATTAGTGGCTTGTTTATATACCGTTCACTACTAGTGGGTACTTCATTTGTTTGTATGCCTTTCACTACTAGTGGAGACCTGACCTGTTTATATACCGTTCACTACTAATGGAGACCTGACCTATTTATATACCGTTCATTACTAGTAGGTACTTCATTTGTTTATATGCCGTTCACTGCTAGTGGGTACTTCATTTGTTTATATGCCGTTCACTGCTTGTGGGGACCTGCTTTGTTTATATGCCGTTCACTACTAGTGGGGACCTGCTTTGTTTATATGCCGTTCACTACTAGTGGGTACTTGACTTGTTTATATACCGTTCACTGCTAGTGGGTACTTGACTTGTTTATATGCCGTTCACTGCTAGTGGGGACCTGACTTGTTTATATGCCGTTCACTGCTTGTGGGGACCTGACTTGTTTATATGCCGTTTACTGTTTGGGGGGACCACATATTACATTATAATGAGTTATTTTATTTTGCCCTGTTACAACACTTATAGTAAAAAAATGATAAAAAAAAAAGTGAAATCTCTACAGTTTTCTCTAAGAAATAAGTATAAAACACCTGCAGTATATTAACGGTACTTTTGTTACTATTTTTGTGACTGATATGTTATTAGTGATCTCTATAACCAACAAGGCCATGGACCAAGCGAAAGTAAGTTACACAGATGTCTTTAAAAAGCTGATGAGGTCCATATGGATCTCACTCGTAATGCTAAGTTAATATTAAAATCTTTATGTAGCTTACTTAGTTATTGCCACTATAATATTGAAATACAAAATTTTCGACTAATCGTTATTCAAATCACAAGCCCCCACCGGTGGCTCAGCAGTAAATCTGCAGGCCTACGACATTAAAAATCGGTTTTCGATACCTGTGTAGCTACAAATAAGCCCAGTGATAACATTAACATCTGTAATAACGCTGATTAAAAGCACGATAGCAAATGCTGTGTATTGTATGGAAATATGCAAGTATAACAAAAACCTATAACTTTTGTGTACTGAATACTCACATCGTGTATTAAGTTATGTATTATATTTGTGAATATAATAACTAACTTTTGTGTACTGAATACTCACATCATGTATTAAGTTATGTATTATATTTGTGAATATAATAACTAACTTTTGTGTACTGAATACTCACATCGTGTATTAAGTTATGTATTATATTTGTGAATATAATAACTAACTTTTGTGTACTGAATACTCACATCATGTATTAAGTTATATATTATATTTGTGTATATAATAACTAACTTTTGTGTACTGAATACTCACATAGTGTATTAAGTTACGTGTTATATTTGTGAATATAATAACTAACTTTTGTGTACTGAATACTCACATCGTGTATTAAGTCATGTATTATATTTGTGAATATATAAAGTAGTATTTTACTGGAAAGCAGTGAGTTGGCAATGATAACTTGGATAAAGATTGGTGTTGCGTAAAATTTTATATTATTTTTTTTTCGTTAGAAGTACCGTTAGTTTGAAGGTTAGAAATAAATACTCTATACAGTTCCAAGAAATACATCCCAAAACAACTTATGTTGACTATGACATGATAATATCTTTGTTCTTTTCCTTTACCACATTTTGGCACTACATTACCTACACCAAGGCTGAATGGAGTAAGCAACATGAACTAATACTCATAAGAACGACCACTTTCATAAGATTCGTCCCTCAAGACATAATTCAGCTGCAAGAATAAATTGTTTGACATATTTGTCAAATTCTACATTCAGAAAGCATTACATTTCATATTCAAGTTAACAATCGGGTATTAATAAAGTATTTCACCACTGGTATTCAATTACTTAATCACACCACCTTTTGTAGGTAGTAAAAATTGATGGATACTGTTATTCTAAGATCTTATTTACGAAGAAAACCGCACATCAATCACGGCAATCTACTCAAGTCATGCCTGTCTCAGTCCACTCCGAAGATATGACTTAGATATCGTACTGATTCATTTGTTCATTCAGTCTAATATTCTATGATTCTGTTAGGTTGAAATTCGAGCTATCCTCCTTGCTTTCTTTACCTACTTTTAACAGTATTAATTCAGACATGTATTTTTGTGTTCTATGTTGCGCGAGTTATATATACACTTTTAGCGTGTTCAGCTAGCCCGTGAGAAAATAAACAAAGTGTTTCTTGATTATAGATTAGATGTTGTACTTGGTTAATTAAAGTAGTGGATACCCTTGAAAAATAATAACGATAAGCCTGAAAGTTGATATCACATATCATGCTCCAGATTTTTATCCTCTTGAACATTGAAAACAGTTCCTTAGAAAACGTAAAACAAATGAGCAACAACGAAGAAAATGAGTTAATTTATAGTGTAGGTCTGTGTTCATGCTGCCAAGTGGTCTGGTCTGTGTTCATGCTGCCAGTTGGTCTGGTCTGTGTTCATGCTGCCAAGTGGTCTAGTCTGTGTTCATGCTGCCAGTTGGTCTGGTCTGTGTTTATGCTGCCAAGTGGTCTGGTCTGTGTTCATGCTGCCAAGTGGTCTGGTCTGTGTTCATGCTGCCAAGTGGTCTGGCCTGTGTTTATGCTGCCAAGTGGTCTAGTCTGTGTTCATGCTGCCAAGTGATCTGTCTTTATCGTGACGTGTTATATAACATTTATGTTACTTTTCATTAGAAAAACTCTGCATGACAACATAGACATTGTGGCTATTAGGTATGTGTAGTAATAAGTGACTCTACTCCATTATACCTAACTATTTCCTAACGAAGAAATACAATCGGTTATACAATATTATTGAGTTCTCTGTAACAGTATATACTTCTAAGCTGTTTGTTTTTCATCTCATAATCAAAACAGGCAGTGGTAGTCACTCATTCGCTATCTTTTCAACTCAGCGTTCTATCTATCTATATCCTCAACACCATAATGTTTACAATAAAGATTTTCTAATTAAACGTTTTTACTCTTAACTAACACAATATATTTATATTGGTAACTATATTCACATTATAACAATAACGACTAGTATTTCAAATAAGATTAAAAAATGAACAGCCACTGTTGCATTCTGGGTAAATGTTTCTGAATTGAAATGCCTTTCTAAACTCAGGTTTTCCCAAAGTTAAAATTAATTAAGTAGCAAATTTGAAGGTCAACTTTCAATTGTCAGGGATTGTATTCAAGGTCATTTATCTTTATAAGAACATAAACTTGAAGAGAAAATTGGCAAGACTGGAGAACACCTTGAAGGTCATTTTGTTTCTTTAGGTGTAGTGAAAGTATCTTAGCACTGGTTATACTATCAAAGCTGGAATTACTGTTGGAGTCCATGTTCTTGCACCATCTTGAACGTTCAATTGGGCCAAGGACAACCACGAGTTACACAGTTATATCTTTCCTTAGAGCACGTTTAAAAATGATTTTGTAACGTAAACCCTTTAAAGTAAAACATAGGCGTCTTCTTTAATACATATTTATGTCTTTGGTGCATTAACAAAAAATAACACATAACCCATTTTAAAATAAACTGAACTATGAGTGTTAAATCATGATCAAAACTGGTACGTAGGCCAAAAAATATCACTTACTTTAGTCATAACATAAAGAATTGAAACTGTTAGTTGATTAAAAATGACTACCTGCTCTTGTGAAAAACCTAAATCTTCGGTAGTGAAGAAAAAAAAAAGATTCAAATCATTTAAAA